CTGCTCGCCTCCCTTTTAAATCACACGACGGGGTCCCTGTCTTCTTCTTCCCCGGCAGGGGGAGGAAACGGAGGGGGAGGGGGAGGGTTGGGGTCTTTACCACCGCCTTTTATTATGGATCTCGCGCTTTGCGATTTAAACGCGCTTCGACATTCGTTTAGCGTGCATACGAAACTGTGGTCGTCGCCCGAGATTCTTTCCACCTTCCGCCGTCATGTACGCCGATCCATCCTCGCGGAGGCCGAGGCCGAGGAGCTGAACTCCGCCAGACATGACGAAGACGGCGGGATGAACGAAAACGGCGGAAGTGAAAGAAATACCGAAAGTGAAAACGACTCCCCCAAAGTTTTGAGCGATTTACGGCATCTGTCATCCTCATACCAGGGTCAGGAAATGAAATTTTCTACAACCGAAATTTTCGAGAACGTGCAGAATTCCTACAAACCCTCGCAAAAGCTGGACAAAAAACGGCAAAAGTTCTACGCCAAGGAGCTCTTGCGGAGCTCTATGTTTTTAAACGAGACCGATGACGTCCCGACAGGGATCCCCGCGCATTATTTACAGCGCGCGCGGGTGGAGCTCGTGTGGGAGTACGAGGCACGCGTGCAGGCCGAACTGCAGGACATCCAACGACGGCGCTTTAGCGAGTGGCTTTCATCCCAGCCGTATGATATTCAGCAGGCGTTTTATGGCATTTGGACAAACAACACGAATAATGGTTATATGCCACGGAGTGCGTCCAAACGACGGCTGAGCAACAGTACCCTTGCTCAGGTTTTGCGGGATTCGACCTCGGTTTCGCCGAGGCCGGCGGAGAATTCCCCGTTCGACAGAGACGATTTTCATGACAGAGGAAAAAGCGTCATCGATGGCGCACAGACCATGCACTCTGCGCAGAATTCCACGTACTTGATGGATGGAATCGCGTTTATACCACGCACGACGACCTTTAACGCCTTTTCATCCGGTACTTCTCTTCACCAGACCCCGACGAGAAGAAACGCGCTGGATATCGACTATGCGATGCTGGAGCACATTCCGCCACCGGCCTTTTTAAATATCCTTTTATCGCATAACCACGATGTGGAGGGCGAATTCCGGCGGGGGGGGGTAATCCCCTCTAAGTCAACCGCCACCACAGGGGGGACTTGGAATGCCGATTTGGCCGAAGGGGGGTTTTTGAAGAATTTGTGTCCGTGGGAGCTCGACATCAGTGATGACCTACCGACGTTATGGGGCTCGACGAAGGCGGGGCGGCAGTTCAGCGATGCGTCCTCGCTCTCGGGGGGCGACCCGAAGGGATCCGCGCATCTGTCCACCCCTTCGTGCACGGGGGGTGGCCCCACGCCCCCCAAAGCGAGTTTGAGCCCCTTCTCGGCCGGGCTTTCCCCCGGGACGGACCCGAGCGCGGCCCCGGGCGGGCCGTCGGCCGACCCCCGCCCCTCCCTCCCCGCGAACGCCGAGGCGGAGCTGAGCCAGCTGGCGATCCCCTTCCCGATCTTCGTCTACGTCGTCAGCCGGCTGCTGTTTTCCATTCAGTACGCGGCGTGCTTCCCCGCCGGGCTGTTCGCGCCGGGGCTGATCTCGCCCTACTACATCCCGGACCCGGCGCAGTGCGGGGCGGGCTACTACCTCCGCTACTTCCACACCCACCTCCAGGGCCCCCCGCACGGCCCAGACCCGGAGGCCCCCCCGGGGCCCGCACA